CCATCTCCCTCCCCCATTTCCACCCCCATCTCCATCCCTCACCATGGGGCCCGGCCGCCCCGTCAGGCCCATGGGTCCCGCTGGTCCCCTCAGCGCCAGCTGCAAACAAAGGACAAACAAAGCTCTCTGGGCATCTCTTTGTGTCTCCAGTGCCACCACCCACAGCTCTCCCCACATCCTGAACCCACAGGAGAAACATCCCAGGGAATTCGGGTGCTGCTTCACCAACTCCATCCCGCACCCACAAATGGGAAAAAAACTCCCCCAGAGGAGCTGTGGCTGCCCCTGGATCCCTGGAAGTGTCCAAGGCCAGGCTGGACAGAGCTTGGAGCACCCTGGGATCATGGAAGGTGTCCCTGCCCAAGGAAATGCTCACAATGAGATGGGATTTAACTTCCTTCCAACCCAAACTCTATTCTGTCACTCTGGACAGTCCCTGAATCTGCTGACAGCACATAAATATTTATAACTCCACTTCATTTTAGGAGAGTTTTTTTTTTTTCTTTATGATCCTGATAGTTCAATTGTGGAGGAATTTTTTCCCTTTTTTTTTTTGGTTTCTATTTAATCCCCCACCAACTGAACTCCAATTCCAGCTGAACACAGGGGGCTTTTAGCTCCGTAATTAAGGAGTCGTGTTAACCACGATCCAACCCAGTAATTTCCACGGTGGGAAATGGAGCTGGGCCATGCTTTAAAACAGCCCTCAGACAATTTGTTCCCCTCGTGACAATCCCAACACTTTTACAAAGAGTTGTAATTATCTGTGTACTCCGGTAATTAAAATCTACCCGCCATTGCGCCTGGAACGGCATAAATATCGCCCAAATGCTGCGTTCTGTGGCGTTCTTTTTACAACACCCCATTAAAAGGGAGATGCTCTGAACCACTGCTGGCTGCAGCAGCGCTCGGTGCCTAATGAAAGCCAAATTTTAAGGGGATAAATCAACCTAATAATGCAATTAACAGCGGTGGTAACAAGAAAAACAAGCGCAAAAAAAGGAAAAGGTTATGCTTGCTGCAGGACTCTTTTTTTTTTAGTCTGGCCGTGTCTTATAGTTCCCCCCAAAATTTGTTGTTTATTTGACTTTTTGCATCACGGTTTTCAGGCAAAAAATAATGAAGTTCACCAAAAAAAAAAGGGATTATTTTACTTTCTAGAAATATTCCACTTTTCATCCACAGTCAAAAAATTACCCAGGATTCTGCTTTTAATTTTTTTTTCCCCAACCTTTAAAATTTGAARAAGACTTTGAGTGAGGGGAATGAGGTTCTCTGTTTTTCATAAATCACAGTTTTCAGCAGGCAGAATTAAAAAAAAAAAAAATAAAAAGAACAAAAGCAGCGAGCTGGAGAAAGCAGATGCTTCTCACGAAACGTTGCTCAGGTCAAACCCCTCATTTCCCAGGAAAATAAAATGCTGCTGGAATAACCATGGGCAGGCTGGAAATTAAGACTGACAAGGAAACATCGGGAACATAATCCAGGATATTATTGTCAGCACAAGGTTAATGGACAGGAAAATGCAGTGGCTGAGGGGAATCAGGGCCCTGGGTGCTGCCTGAAAGTGTAAAAGATTTAATTTTTGTGGAAAAGAGGAGCTGGAGGGAAACCAGGACAGTCCCAGATAAGTCAAACAGCCCATTAAAAACCCAAAAAGGGCACAAGCCACCCAGCAAGGGGGAGATACCAGTGGGTTTTACCCCATTCAAGGGGGAAATAAATTGGGTTTTTAGCCTGGTTTAGCCMAAAAAATTCTGTGTTTCAATGTGCAAACTACTCTGAGTGACAGTCAGCTGCACCCACACATCCCAGCTGCAGCCAGATGTGGGGTGTGGGGGTCTGTCCCCAAATAAAACAACCCCAAAACATTGTGTCCCTTTGGGAATTGCCACCCTAAAACAGCTCCCATTTCCTCCTTCATTGCAAAAGGGGTTTTTATGGCGGAATTTGGTCTCTTTTGGGCAAGAAGGAGGAAAACACTGCTGAGGGGAATTTTGGGGTTACCCCAGCACATCCTGCACCTCTGCTTTTAAAGCAGAGTCCAGGAAATATCCCCCGAGCAACCAGGGAGGAAGAATCTTGAACTGCGCTGGGTTAAAATTAAATTTATTTTGAACAGATGAGTGCAAAGCCTTTTTTACAGAGGTGCTCATCCAGGATGGAGGACAGGTGCTGCACTGGGAATGTGCCAATCTCAGTTCAGCAGCGAGCCAGGGATGATTTGAACATCAATCAAAAAGGTCATGGGAGGGAAAAAAATGTCACAGGG